AAGAAAATATAATACTCCAAAAATAAAAATTACATTATTTATTTATCTATTTACTTATTTATTTATATATTTTTGCAGTATGCATCTACTTACTATACTCGATTTTTTTTATATTCAATTGTTCATTAAAAATCTCATTGCATTCTAAACGTAAGGTTCTATATTATTTTAAATATATTAACTACATTAATTATAAAAAAAATTAAAAAAATTTGAAAATAATTATCTCTAAAAAGGTGAAATATTTTTGAGAACTCTACATACAGATTTAAAACCGTTTAAATTAGAATGGATATTTGGGTCATTTTTCACCGCTAAAAAACTATTTTGTTTGATGCCTTATTATGTTGTAATCTATTTAACTTTCATCAGCAATGATTTTTTATTCCCCAAATGTTCCACATGTTTCGGTTTTATTTCTTGTAATATATTATGTAACTTTATGGAAAATTGAGATTTTTGAATTATTTTTTACATTACACCTGAATCAAAATAAGAAGTTTTTAAAATTATATATATTATTAGTGTACTATAAAACACATATGTAAATCATCAATTGTGTTTTGAATTTTTCAATACAAATAAAATAATTAAAAAATGTGAAGTAGAAAATAAAATATAAATAAGAAAAGATATTTTTTAAAGTTAAAATATCTTGGTATATTGATATTTTGGTTAAAGTCTCACACAACATTATGTAGGGTGCATGCATTCTGCTGTGATGTATACAATTTGTGGGTGAACTTTGTTAATTTTAAAAATTTCGAGTTCAAAATGTCAATTAGTTTCAGTTTGATGTGCAAAATGCAATTCACTCGACTATAAGAAGGAAATGCATGAAATATATAACGAGTTTCAATAAAATAAATGTCAAAAACATAACTAAGAAGCAAGTAAATGTCATTCAAATTTTTGATAACAACAATGATGAGTAAAAATTGTAATAATTGAACGAAAAGGTAAGAAAATAACAGGGTCATAAATATACATAGGCAAAACCGTATGAAATTATTTATTTATTTTACTATTAATTAATAAATAATTTTGAATTATATTATATTCCAAATAATTATCAATGTCACAAAATATTACTCTAATAACAATATAACTATCATATATAGATTATGGTAGATAGAAAAAAAAATGACGTGTACAACGCACGCGAACCTTTCTAGTTTAGGTGGTGTTTGCAAATAATTATTTAAAAGCAAAAGTTAGTGATTGTGATTTAAGTTAGTTTTAAGTGCTTATTTCTAAAAGTTGGGGGTGTTTGCAAATATTTCGGAAAATGAACTAAAATTTAAAAAGCAGGGTTAGGGGTGCTTTTAAAAAAATAGCTTAAAGCAGATTATTTTAAGAGAAGCAAAAGCAAAAGTTGATTTTGCAAACACCTAAAAATAGATTATGAGAAAAAAAAAAAAAAAAAACCGCATAATCATTTTCAAACACCACCTTAGTATAAAATTTTGGAGCAACTTTATAAAGCGAATGAATCGATCAACATTTATCGACAATGATAAATCATCTATCTATCTTTACTGCTAATAAAAGTTACACCTAATGTAATTACACTTTTAGCCAATTTCTTCAAAAAAATGTGAAAAAAAAAAATAATAAAAACTTAAGAAAACATACAAAGTTTACTTAGCAACCTCAATAAAAAAAAAAAAAAAAAAAAAAAAAAAAAGGTTTCGGGAAATTTAGCTAGTTGCATTTTTTCCCTTCAAATCATATGCGACAAACTCGATCTATATTATATTGACCGTACGTACGATTGGAATTCTGGTCATTTAACTTCATGCTCTCCATCAAATAGGTTATTTGATATATTTTTTAGAAAAAAATGTAAATAGTATCAAAATAAAAATAAAAATAAAAAAAAGGATAACTAAAATTTAATCATGGACCAGTAGAAGAGTAGAAGTGGTCCAGGATTCACGTCCGGATTCCGTGGGCCCATTTAAAATCACGTAAGAGAAAAAAACAAGGGTAAATAGCACTTAACCCCTTGTGGTTTGAGCATTTTGCACATGACCCCCTTCTGGTTTGAAATTATGCACATAACCTCCTTGTGGTTTTGACATTTTGCAAATGACCCCCTTATGTATGAAATTAGGCACATAACCCCCTTGTGGTTTGACATTTTGCACATGACCCCCTTATGGTATGAAATTAGCACATAACCCCTTGAATAGAAAACTGGAAAAGACTAAATTACCCCTATCAAGTCAAAAGTTCTTGTTTTAATTTACAAATAATTATTCTATAAAATAAAAGGCTTAATGTACTTTTTTGTAAAATGAGAAATATAATATATCATCGTATTATTTTTTTTAATTTTACAGCACAAAAGGTATATAATACTAGTTATTGTACGATTGCCATTTTATTTGATTTTAAAAATCAATTTGAAAATCTTTAACATTTCATTAGTTATGATTATTATATTAATATTTTCTATATAATATATTATATTATAGTTGTTATCGAACTTTAATTTTTTTAAGAAACAAAGTCTTTATTTTATGGAAAATTCGAAAAAAAAAAACATTTCTCTATAGTTGAAATGAAAATTATATATATATATATATATATATATATATATATATATATATATATATATATATGCTGTAAAATAGAAAAAAAACAATAATATATTATATTTTTATTTTACAAAACAGTATACATTAAGCTTTTCATTTTATAGAATAATTATTTTTAAGTTAAAACAAAAACTTTTGACTTGATAGGGGCAATTTAGTCTTTTTCAGTTTATTCTTCAAGGGGTTATGTGCTAATTTCATTCCATAAGGGAGTCATGTGCAAAATTTCAAAACCAGAAGGGGGTTATGTGCCTAATTTCATACCATAAGGGGGTCATGTGTAAAATGTCAAAACCACAAGGGTTTTATGTGCCTAATTTCAAACCACAAGGGGGTCATGTGCAAAATGCTCAAACCACAAGGGGGTTAAGTGCTATTTACCCAAAAAACAATGGTCGTTCTTCCTCCTTCATATGTACACGTGTCAATCTAGGAGTGGGACAACGAGGATAAGGTACAACAGCAGAGCAAGAGAGCAACAGTGCGTCTCTTTAAACGGAGTAGTACCAACTGGATTGGAAGCTTACATTTATTAATGGAAGTACAACCCAAAGCTGCACACTTTGTCCTCAGCTTTACTTTCACTTGTCTTCTTCTTCTTCTTCTATAGACAAAGGTACAAAAGGTGGGGGCTTACTGTAATTGCTAACTCGTAATTGCTTACTGTAGCAATAATATATCGTCTAAAAGTGATGATTCTTTTTTTTATTAGGAGGGTGACTAGGTGTTTGATGAAATGCCTCAATGAACTTTAATCTGATTAAATTCGGTGTGATTTACATTGTATGATGAAAAGGTGTTTTCTTGTTAGAGTTTTGGCTGGAGTGTTGTTGGTGTACCTTATGTGTAGTGTATTGACTGACTAACTGTATGTTATTTCGAAGTCATATTCGACAAAAAAAAAAAAAAAAGTTTTGTTCTTTATAGGTTGTTTGTAAGAGTACTTGTACTTTGAGTCAGTCTGAATTTATGTAGATTTTTTTTAGTAAGGCTGTCTTCGACTTCGACGAAAAACTCATTTGTGTGCTGAATTCATGGTTCTTCGTAGTAATCGAGGTGGAGAGAAAATTTTGGTTACGATTATTGTCTTATAGGATTCGATGACTTCTGTTTTCTGATTCTAATTTTCTCGCTAATTCACCTTAATAATTGATAGCAATTGAATTATATACTTTTAGTGTCGTTATCTGCACGTAGTACGTCTATTTGTAACTTCAACAACTTAATGCTTCTTCATGATGTGTTCGTTCCAGGTACACATGGCGACAGTTGCAAGCAGCCATAAATTGATCTGCACAGGTAATAAATAATCTCGTAATTACGAGGCGTATCAAAAGAAACAAGACGAGCTTATCTCCGACTTTTGACCACATTCACCTTAAATCAGTGATTTGTTTTTTTCTCAACTTGTCAGGCAAGAGAGAGCACGTATCGTCATATCACGCAATCACCTCGTTTAACCGAAGCCCACAAAAGGGAAAACTTTGCATGATTGCCAAAACAACGAATTCGACTGAGAAACATCTGAATTCTTTAAATTCTTATCTCGTAAAACTCCGTAACGATGCCAAGCAGCGTTCGTCCAAGATTCTAAATCAGAGGACAGAATCGATTGATGAAAACGATCGAGCCAAAGTAGATAATGGTCTGAGATCTTTAGAGAATTATCTTGACAAAGTTAAAGGTATTCACAAATATTTAATCTTTAAAAATAAAAATAACGCATACTCTTGATCTTGATCTATCTGACGACATTTTTCTTCCCTTGATTTCAGTTGCAGAGTCAGAAAAATACGTTGAAAAAGATTTACTGGCATCAATAAACACTTCAGCCGAAAAGGACCAAGGAAGTGGAAGGGAGAGATCGTTTGAAAATTATTATATGGAGTTAAAACCTGAGGTTGCCGAGGAAAATAAATCTGCTGAAGAATCCTCGGATTTCTACTTAATGTAATAACTTCTCTTTTTGAATACATTTCTGTTTTACTTAATGTAATAAGGCTTATTCAACTTATGTTTTCTATCGTTGATTCTGTTGCAGAGGTGTATTGGCTTCTATAAACATAGCAGTTTTTTTGTTCGAGATAGCTACTCCGGTGAAGAACACTAATTTGGAGTTATTCTCACTCCCGATGCTTTACGGAGCAAAGATAAATAACTTGATTCTAACGGGAGAATGGTGGAGGCTAGTCACACCTATGTTTCTGGTACAAGATCAGTCACTCTGGTTCGTACTTCAATACCGTAATTAGGGAATGCAGGACATCCTTTTTTCTGCAAATTAAAAATAAAAAATAAAAAATTATATTGTTTTATGAAGGGCAATACTGAATACTGGTAAAAAGGATTTCTTTTGTTATTTATGTCAAGGCTGGGGTTTGAAATTTCTAAATGCTTGAAATAAAACAAGTGCAAATACGTAAGCATATAGGTTGCTGTTTATCTTTTATCTTTGTCTTTTCAGTATATAGCATGAGTTTGTGTAAATTAGTTACACGAAACATATGAACTTGTGTGTATTCATTAAGCTTTTTTTTTCTCGATTGGTTACAGCATTCGGGGGTGTTTCACATAGCCCTAGGTAGCTGGATTCTCTTCACTTTTGGGCATCAAGTATCTCGACAGTATGGCTCGTTCACTTTTCTATTGATATATATTCTTGGTGGCATTTCTGGTAATTTGATCAGCTTCCTCCACACGCCTGACCCAACTGTTGGTGGCACGGTATGCTTTACTGACCTATTAAACAAGACAATGTCGACAGATAATATTATTTTTTTTCTTTTTATCGATTCATTATTGCAACATACATCCTTGTGAATTGAGAATCTTATATGTGTGATCGACCGATGAATTAATCTGTCATTGGTCGAACGATAGGTTCTTATTGATGTACTTGTTATTAATTCAGGGACCGGTGTTTGCAATAATTGGTGCTTGGCTTATCTACCAAGTTCAAAACAAAGATGTTATTGCAAGAGACGATTCCTCGGAAAGAATGTTTCAGAATGCAATCATCGCAACAGCTCTGAGCTTCGTTCTCAGCACTTTTGGTCCAATCGATGACTGGTAATTTCGTCAATTGAATTCTACGTTCGTGCAATTATATCAAATCTAAATCTTGTGATTGCATTTTCTCCACTGACTATATGGTGTATATTTCTTTTTCAGGGCCCACTTTGCCTCGGCTTTTGCCGGTGTAGCATATGGATTTGTCACGTGTCCAACCCTACAAGTGAAGGATGCATCTCAAGAAACGGGTCGAGAAGAAAGAATCACGCTCGTTAGACGATACACAGATCCATGCAAGTCACTAATGTACTTCTTTCTCTTCCTCTTAGTATTGAGCTCTTTGCTTTTTGTTATTGAACCTCCAATTGATCTGTGAGAGTATATGGAGTCGGTGTTTTTTTCTTCTTTTGTTCGTTTACACACATCCATGTGGGTGTGTGTGACAAATGAAGAGTGATCCATCCACTAAGTGGTGTATATAGGTAACTAGCCATCACAATAATCAGGAGATAGTAATTATACGTTTTATATTGAATGCATTATTATTGTTATATAATAATATATATCATATTTTTGCTATTTTTATTTTATTTTGAAATTTGAAGTATATTTCTGTCATAATCAATGATGTCAAGATCTGTTTGGGAATTGCCATATCAATTTATTTAATATTGTCATATCAATCGTTTAGTGTTGCTTGATTGAGTTAGGTTCAAACATTCTAAAAATAGTGCCAAGTGACACTAATGCACGTACATATCCATACAAGGTTTTGTAGATGTTACACCCGATGAAATATAAATATAACGAGTAATTATGTACCATAGATCTACACATATAACACACACACCTATGTGGATGTGTGTTTTAGTATGTGTTTATTTGTAGATTTATGGTGTAACACTACCCAGTACTTTTCATCAGGTGTAGCATCTCATAGACCCGTAAGATGTATATTCGCTACAAACTTTCGCCATAGGTGTTAGGGAATAATATATTGAACAATTAATGTTACACCTGATTATTTACATCAATTATAAATATGATCACGTAATCATCCACTAAGCACATGTACATAAGAGTGTGTGATTATGTGTAGATCATCTGTTCGAAGGAATTCACCAATGAATGTAAATAACCAGGCTATGTTGGGGTTTATTTGAAATGAGGTTAAATTTGAAAAATAAAATTAGATTTGTGAATCAGGTAATATAAAATGATGACATGGCAAGCTAACCGTTGAACCAACACCTGTATGGGTTAAGTCTACTACAAGCAACCACGTACACCAACTATTTCATTCATATAATTGCCACCCCATCACACACACACACACATACCTATACATACATAAATCATAATACAAATGTAGAGAGAGAAAGTGAAAAAAGCATAAATATTGCAGAGAGACGAAACGAGGACAATTAATTAATTATATATACACATTAACACAGTCGCAAACAACACGCACCGGCACACACACACACACACACAGAGAGAGAGAGAGAGAGAGAGAGAGAGAGAGAGAGAGATGGGAAATGGAAGGGGAGGAAGAAAGCTGATGGGACCACTGCTGGCGGTGAACTCGGTGGTTTATCTGATACTACTCGGCCTCTCTGCTTGGTCTCTCGACAAATATATCGACGGCCACCAGAATCATCCTCGTACCTACTCTCTCTCTCTCTCTCTCTCTCTCTAAATTTTAGTAATTGGTTTTCTTATTTAATTATGCGTATTCAAGTCACCTGTAATTAAGGGAGAATAAAAGAAAGTTTAATAAACGAGCAAAACGCGTGCTAATCACACATTAGGTGGTGTTTGTAAAAACTTTTTAAAATAGATTATGAGGTTTTTTTTTTTTTTTTTCTCATAACCAGTTTTCGGGGGTTTGTAATTCTTACTTTTACTTTTGTTTCTTTAAAAATAAGGGCAAATGGCAAAAAGGCCCATCACATGGGACTTAAATGCATTTTAGTCCACAAAAAAAACAGTCTCTCAATTAAGCCCATCCACATGTCTTTAGTTTAAAATACCCTCAATAATATAATTCTTAACAATTCCACCCATTATGCTCTAACTTCTTTAATACACATTGACCCCGCGATTTAAACAAATATATCACATTAACCCCCAAAACTTTTTTTTTTCAGAAAATAATTTTTTTTCTGAACTGTTTTTTTTTCCGGCCAGATTCCGGCGTTGACTTTTTTTTTTTTTTTTTTTTTTTTTGAAATTTTTTTTTGAAATTCTTTTTTCCTGCTTTTTTTTTCCGGCCGGTCAACCACCGTTGACCGCCGGTCTCCGGCGTTGACTTTTTTTTTTTTTTTTTTTTTTTTTTTTTGGAATTGTTTTTTCTTAGAAAAAAATTATTTTAATTAATATTACTGTCTTGACTACTAAATTAATTACTGTCTCAGACAGTAATATTACTGTTTGAGACAGTAATATTATGAATATTATTTTTCCGAACAGTAATATTATTAATATTATTATCTAAGACAGTTAAATTACTGTTGGAGACAGTAATTTAACATCCAAGACAGTAATATTAATTTAAATAAATTTTTTTTAAGGAAAAAAATTAAAAAAAAAAAAAAAAATCAATTAACAGTTAAGTTACTGTCTCCGACAGTTAAATAACTGCTGGAGACAGTAATTTAGCAACGATTATTAAAAATATTTTTTTTAAGAATAAAAAAGTCAATTAACAGTTAAATTACTGTCTCCGACAGTTAAATAACTGCTGGAGACAGTAATTTAGCAACGAATACAGTAATATTAATTAAAAATATTTTTTTTAAGAATAAAAAAGTCAATTAACAGTTAAATTACTGTCTCCGACAGTTAAATAACTGCTGGAGACAGTAATTTAGCAACGAATACAGTAATATTAATTAAAAATATTTTTTTAAGAATAAAAAAGTCAATTAACAGTTAAATTACTGTCACAGTTAAATAGTTGCCGGAGACAGTAATTTAACAGCCTAGACAGTCAAATTAATTGAAATATTTTTTTTAAGAAAATGAATAAAAAAAAAAAAAAGTCAACGCCGGAAACCCGGCGGTCAACGGCCGTTGACCGACCGGAAAAAAATTTCAGGAAAACAAAATTCAAAAAAAAAAAGAAAAAAAAAAAAAAAAAAAAAAGTCAACGCCGGAGACCGGCGGTCTCCGGCGGTCAACGCCGGAATCTGGCCGGAAAAAAAATATTTCAGAAAAAAAATTATTTTCTGAAAAAAAAAAGTTTTGGGGGTTAATGTGATATATTTGTTAAAATCCGGGGTCAATGTGTAATATTAAAGAAGTTAGAGCATAATTGGTGGAATTGATACGAATTAGGGTTAAAATTGGGGTCAAAATTGAAATTTGGGTTAAAATTGGTTAGTTGATGAAATTGGGCTAAATTGGGGTGTAAATCATGAAATTGGAGTTAAATTGGGTTTCAAATGAATTGGGGGTAATTGTGGTATATATAAAGGGATTTTCCTTATTTGCAAATAAGTTTGAATGGGGTGGATTTATTTGAAAGACAAAAAAGTTGGATGTCCCTATTTTAATTAAGTGCCCTTGTCATGGGCCTATTTGTCATTACCCTAATCAGTTTTAAGCCAAAATATAAAAAGCACCTCCCAATCAGCTTTTTAGGTGGTATTTGCAAAAGCTTTTATAAATAGAATATGAGCTTTTTTTCCTCATAATCTATTTTTATATTTTTAAATATTTGTAAAATGAACTTTTGCTTTTGCTTTTATTTTTTTTAAAATAAGTAATTTTATAATTTATTAAACACCCATAAACATGCTTTTTCTATTTAAGTTTATTTTTAGGTAAATTTGCAAACACCCTTAACTTAACTTCTATAAATAAGCACCTACAACCAACTTAGCTCACAATTTATAATTTTTGCTTTTGAATAAGCTTTTGCAAACACCACCTAATTATATTGTTGTTCCAACTTAAAACCAAATGTGAATAATACTGCTATATATATCACTGTTTTTGTATTCGTTTTAT